GTAAAGTTCTACTTTAATCTTTTTATGATATGTAAATATTACTATTGTTGGTAACTGTAATAATATTTTTAGGGAGAGTAATAAGTAGCAGTTGGGCTGTTGCAAAATCTAAATATTGTGAAAAGTTGAAAAAGGAATCAGCAAGTACAGAAAATTTGAATGGTATTGAAGAACATGATAAAGAACAAAGTAAAGATAGAGGATCAAAACAAAAGGAAGTTAAAGAAGATGAAGATCCATCTAAACAGGAAGTATTGCTACAAGCAAAAAAAGAAAACAGAAAATTTATGAAAGAAAAAAATCGAAAGAAAAGAGCAAGAATTGTAGTGAGAAATTTGGCATTCCAGGTAAGATAAGATTATCATTAATAAATATATAACTATTTTCATTTTTAGTACTTATACTTTTTAAATATAATACAGAAGAAACTTTGAGAAAACAATTTTCTGAATATGGTACAATTGAAGAAATAAAAATTTTGAAAAGAAGCGATGGTAAAAATGTTGGTTGCGCATTTTTGCAATTTGAACTTGTACAAAGTGCAGCTAAAGCTATACATTATGGAAATTTACAACCATTTCTTGATAGACCTATGATAGTTGATTGGGCCTTACCCAAAGATAAATTTAGTAAAAATGATTCTGAAAATATAAACACTGATGATGTAAAAGTAAAGATAGAGAAAGAAAGTGATACAGAAGATTCACCTTCTAAAGAGAGTGCACAGAAATCAAATACAAGTGAAGAGTTAGGTGGGTGAGTAAGTTTTGTTACTATTAATTCTGATATATGTTTAAAATTTCTGGAAAAATAAATTTATTTTTTTAGAAATAAGTATATGGTGTAAGTATTTAGTTTTTAAAAATCATAATATTTGATTTACAGTGAAAATGATAAACACTTTGACATTATCACAGAAAATGCCGACTTTGATGATGATTTAGAAGAAGTTAAAGTAGAATCAGAAAATGAAAATTCAGAGAAAGACAGTCAGGAAGATGAAGATGATGAAGAAAAAGTGGACGTAAAAGAGATAAAACGCCCGCGATTCAAGTCTCATGATGTTTCGGAAAGAAAAACTGTGTTTCTAAAAAACGTACCATTTTCTGTGAAAAATGAGGAATTAAAGAAATACATGGAACAGTTTGGACCTGTTTATTATGCTCTCGTATGCATGGATCCACTTACTGAATTTTCAAAGGGTACAGCATTTGTAAAATTTAAGGTAAATTTAGATAACGAATATCTAATTTTTTATTGTGCAATAGAAATCTTTATAAAAATATAATTGCAGAACGTTCAGGATGC